GTGGTATTTTAAATGAGTGGAGGCATATCCCAGTAATCTCTGAAGAGTGTCAGAGTTTTAACATGTAAAATTTTTAATTGTTATGCTTTAAAAAAAGGAAGTTTGTACTGGAGACATCCAAATTGGTTCACCCAGAATTTAGCATTAGAGGATCTATCTTCTTTGCAGTTCTGAAGAGGCATACATTTTACCATCTTGGATATCAAGTCTAAAGCTGAATCCCTTAGCAGGTGTAAATGGGGAAGTGATAATTTATCTGTTGTGCCTTTGAGATCATTCAAGATCATTCATAAATCTTTGGATTTTAGAGTCTGCCAAACAGTATTAATAGAGTGTTACCATTTTGCTAAAATGAAGCTTAGCAACCATACACATAGTTATTATTTAGTCTTGTTACCTTTTCACAGATACTTACAAAAAGGCCCGTTCCAGTTCGCTTGGACAAGCAGTTCTAGAGGGTTTTAGGCTATCATCCTATTATACTAATTTGTTGAAAGAGTTTCATTTGGGACTAAGGCAATCATTGGTTTTGCAAGAAAGCCGTAACATCAGAGACTAGAGCACTAATAGTGTTTTTGCTGTGGCTTTGGAAATATTTAAGGTTAAATGGAAGAATGGAGTCACTTTTTTCATATAGCTCCCCTGATCCAGCTGCTGTACCTAACACTTAAACAGCTTTCAGGCACATCCATTTTGACTTGCAGTTTCAGCAGAAATGTATTTGAAGGTATCTGTGGTTATTCTAGTGCAATGTTTTTTTTTGCACAAAGGTTCCACATGAATTAATTAATTTATAAATCTGAAAGCACTCGTAATTTTGACACACAGATATTTCCAAAGATGAAGGCCACAACCTGTCTCCAGGAAAAATGTTCATAAGAGGACAGGTGAGAAATAACTGCTTGGAAATGCAGCTAATCTTTTTTCCATTTCAAACTTGTGGTTCCTGTAATGTTTTGTTTCTTGCACCACAGTAACCCATTTAATTTGACAGAATATCTCCACTATTTTCTAGAATAACATAGCTTATGATTTTGCTTTGACTACCAAGGTACTACCTTTTGGTATGCATGCTGCAATGTAAAGAGAACATTCATGCAGATTTGCCAAGCCAAAGGATGTATACATAAGAGAATAACTGGGATCAGACCATGATCTGAACTGTCATAAATTTGTTCAAGAATTGAACAAAATTTAGATGTTTTGGATGCATCTACATTCGGGGGTGGGAGGGGGCAGGAATGAATGTTTCTCAATAGAAAAGAATCTGAAAACAGACTTGGATACCTGATCTCTAATATAGTCAGAAAGCTCTTCTGTGGCTTACTAATTACTCCATTTATTATGAAAACTCTTACAAAGAGTGAAGCAAAAAGATCTCAAGAGCTTGTAAGCCTACATGTTCAGAACTGTAGCAAGCTTTGAGTCTAGGTCTGCAGGATTTGAAAGAAAAACATTAATCCTAGATCCTGATAATAAAAAGAAATTCTACTGTCTGTGGAATGAAGTGGATGAAGCTTGGATACTGATGTCTTGAAGGATATGAAGTATATTGGAATGGATATTGTAAAAATTCCTAAGTTCATTTGTGCATCAAACCCCTAAGGGGTATTGGGACTCATGACATAACAAAAAAGATTTATGCAAACTTGCATATATTTGATTGTAAAAGAGAAGATATGAAGAAATCTGTTTTCAGAGGGTAATTACTCTCTCCTCACCTCTCTGATTCTCTATTGATTATTCTCATATAGTTCAAAAGAAGTTCAAGATTTCATAAACTCCTTGAAGTCCAATGGTGTATTTCAGCTTTCAGATTTCTGCAGCTATCATGGCAACTTAAAAAGTTTTTGTGCTCATTCAATGGAGTTTTTTCATTATGCTCGATGAAGATAGTGGTACTATGTACTCATCCTACCTTTTATGCCCTAGTTCAACCTGATATTTTCATATACTTGGGCCAGTTTTTTGTCCTGGATCCAGAAATCTCATAGAGGCAAACCAGTAATGATCAAGTCTAGTTCTGAAGATCACCATCGAGATGCACTGAAAGTATGAAGAAATCTGTGAGTAATCTGTAACTCTGTCTGCAATCACCTTGCCGTTTAGGAAAAGAAAACTTTGAAGGTGTGCTTTTCTTAGATAAGATGTCAACAGGTTGTGGTTATAATAACTCACTAAAACATCAGTATTCAGTTTTCAAGAAAAATGAAGAAGGTGCATCAGAAGAGCTCAGTATTTAGAGGGAATATGTATGCCAAGTTGTGATGTGAACGCCTACTTATATGTTCGCAATTTACAATCTGACGTTTCGGATGATGATGAACAGCAGCATTTTAAGCCTGGTCAGTTACAGAAGTTCAAGCGAAAAAATTGGTCCTACTTGAATTGTTTTGGTTGTTTGATCTTGGAGCTTTCAGCATGAGGGCTCTGAAAGGTGAGTTTTGGCTGACCCAGCTACAGCTGTTTAAGGCATCACAGCTCCTGGCTATCTGCCTTGCTCCTGTAGTAGGTGTAGCAGAGGGAAACATTTGCTTGGCTCTTAACTGACTTGTTCAGCCTGGTAGGTTAATGAAAACCACCTTCACTAGTGCCTTATGGTGATGAAATGCTGAACAATGAAATGCTTTTGTGGAAATGTGAATGAGTGTTCCCTTCTGCTATAGGTGATAACCTCAGTTAAAGGAATGGGGCAGATAACTGGTAACAGTAATGTCTTAAAGGCTACTGTTAGATCCAGCATCAGAGCTTTTACAGGACTTTTTCAGTGTGACTGACATTTCTGGGTTAAAATGAACAAGCTGACTGACTTTTTCCGAAGAACACCAATTTCTCAATTTGTGTTTCAAAATTTAGAGCTTTAATTGAGAAAGAGGGTAATGATGTGTGTGGATGTATGTATATTAACATAGCTGTTTTTAAAAAAAAAAAAAAATAAATTTGAAACCTGTTAGTCTCTGGAAGATTCTACTTCATGACCATTCCTAAAACCTGCCATGAAGCTCGGAGAGGTCAAAGTCCTTATAGTCTCAGGGAGAAAAAGATTTTTTTGTCACTGCATGAAGGTTTAAAGAAAAATATATTCATTTTAATCAGCAGTGTAAGGAAATGAATCTGTATAAGTTCTCTTATGAATCCAACAGTTGCTCTAATACAGAAAAAGCAAAAATCTCCATGCTAAAAAGCTGCACCTTTGATTTGGGAAATTTACTTTGCTTCACATGTCTATCATAAAGTTGGTAGGCATTCCTATAGGTTTCTGCTGAACTTTGTGAAGTTCCTTATTTGCAGTTGACCAGTTTCTGCATGGAGTTTGTTGTATCTGTCTCCTCTGTCTTCCAGCTGTTAAATGTCGCACATAATTTTGGAAGTTAGGAAATTAGAGCTGTACAAATAGATTTGAGAATGAAAGTGATGGGGGGAAAAAAAAAAGCCTGTTCACATCACTGGAATTGACCATGTTACTGCTTGTTACTGTGTTCTAATATTAATTTTGGAGATAAGCCTTCAAAGTTTTAATTCTTTTAAATAAGACTCTTCTACAAATATAGAAGAAATTAGAAGTCATATGTTGTAATTCTGGTTTACAGTTTGAAAGGGTGTTGTGGTTTTTGTTTTGTTTTGTTTTGTTTTTTTTAACTTGGAGTTATTTCCCTGTTCCTTGATTGTATCCTCCTTACCATTCATTCTCCTGCTTCCAAAAAGAGAGCTGGCTCATTGCATGTGGTGATAAGGCACCACAAACCTACGCACAGCATAAGTTTTATTTTTCTTACATTGCATTTGTGGTCTAGACATTTGGACAATAGATCTACAACAGAATTTCTAACCTATGTTTAGTCATTCCTTAGACTTAAAGTTAGATTCCCTGATCAGAGACAAAGGTTTGTTGTTTTTTTTTTTTAAATGACACAATGATAGTTGAAAAATTAGAATATAAGCCTTAGTGCAGGTAAGGCTTTTGGTTTTCATGGCAGAAATTAATTTTAGTTTAGAGTACCATGTTGGTAATATAAATAGGTTATAGTTTAAATGAGTAGAAAAATATTCTTTTGGATATTTCCATGTGCTTCTCATTTCTAAGAATTCTGCCACATAACAAGGGTGTGTGGTTGGCTCACTTTATTTTTCTGTATTTTACTCAATGATTATTTTTTTTAGTATAAACTGAAAGTCTTATTGCAGAGTCAACATGACCTTACATAAAATTATCACTGAACTTTTTATTTCATCCATGAAAAGCACTGTGGTTTCAAAGGGAATATACTCAATCTTTTAAGTGTGTAGTGGCCCCCCACCCAATATGTATGTGTTATGGTATAGACTCCAACTCTTGGTATACTGCTTTGCTTTAAAGAGAAGCATGGAGCGTTGGAGTTACTTTAATAATTTTTGTTCACCATGTGTTCCCTGGCTAAAATATGCATGAAATCCAACTGATGCTCGGAACTAAGCAGGGAGAACCTCTGTCTTAATCATTGCAGATCCTTGCTTAGTACATGTGTAATGAAGCAGGCTGAATCTGTGGAAGAGAATCTTTCACAGTGGTATTCCTCAAAAATTAGTTTGCACCTTAACTTCGTCTTTGCAGACTTTTGCTTCAAGTGTAACTGATTAGTTTGGGGGTTTTTTAACGTTTTTTTGGTTTGTTGTGGGTTGTTTTTTTTTTTGTTTGTTTGGGTTTTTTGGTCCTTATGTATTGCTGCTTCTTTATTAGGTAGTTCTCTTGGAAATAATAGAGGGTCTTTGATCTCATATGTTTTGAGGGTGGATCTTTTAATGATGGATTGGCACTTGTGGTAGACTGACCATGAATGATAGTCTGAATACATTAAAAAGTGTTAGCTAGAGAAGTTCTATTTTTGCTTTTAAATTCAATGGATTTTGTTGTGTGTGTACCTACATGCTGAGGGAAATTAATTGGTGGGAGTAGAGGGAATGTTTGGACATTTACCAGTCTATATAAACATAATTTGTGATTTTTCTCTTTTAACTTGCAGATAAGCCTCTGAAGAAGCGAAAACAAGAAAACAAACCACAGGAGTCTGGAGGTGCTACTGGAGGAAATAGAGCAGCTTCTCAGGAGACAGGTTCTACAGGAAATGGTGCGAGGCCAGCGTTGATGGTTAGTATTGATCTGCAGCAAGCAGGAAGAGCGGACTCTCAGGCAACAATAACTCAGGATTTGGACACCATCAAAAAACCTGAAGAAATTAAGCAGTATAATGATGGGTTTGTGTGTGTTCCCCAAGAAGACACTGTTGGAGTTCTTAAATTTAAACCTGAAAACCACCCTGAGATTTTCAGGAAAAAGTCAGACTTTGAGGGTCAAAAGGTGGATATCCAGCAAAATGAAAACAGACAAATGGAATTTCAACAAAATGAGAGCAGACGGTTGGAAAGTAAACACAACGAGAACAAACAGTTAGAAGCTAAACATGAAAGCAAACATGAAAGCAGACAAATGGAAGTGAAACAAAATGAAAACAGACAGACAGAATCAAAACAGAATGAGAGCAGGCAAATGGAGATGAAACAAAATGAGGGAAAACAAAATAATGGCAAACAGGAAATAAGGCAGAGGCCCGAAACGCCAAAACAGAAGAGTGAAGGCAGGCCTGAAACGCCAAAACAGAAGAGTGAGGGCAGGCCCGAAACACCAAAACAGAAGAGTGAAGGCAGGCCCGAAACGCCAAAACATAAGCATGACAATAGGAGGGACTCAAGTAAACCATTGTCAGATAAAAAAATTGAAATATCTAGACATAAACTAGATGTGAAATCTGATCCTTTAAGGGTAAAACCTGAAAGTAGATCTGATCCAACAAAACAAAGGCCTGATGGGCGTTCAGTTTCTGATATACTGAGACGTGACCATGATAGCCTTAAACAAAGATCTGAGGAGAGAGGGGAGTCAGAGAGATACAGAGGAGATCCATCCAAGATTAGAAGGCCTGAATATTTGAGATCCTCAAACAAAAATGAACATGATTCTAAGCATGGTATTAAATCTGATGGTTCAAAACCTGAGAAATTTGAAAGGAAACATAGGCATGAGTCTGGTGAATCAAGGGAAAGGTTTTCTTCTGGGGATCAGAAATCAAGACCTGATAGTCCTCGTATTAAACAGGAAGGTAAAGGAGATTCTGGTAAATCAAGACCTGATAAACCTGGCTTTAAATCACCCAACAGCAAGGATGACCGAAGGACAGATGGTAATAAAAGTAAAGTAGATAGTAATAAGGCACATGCTGACAATAAAGCAGAGTTTCCCAGTTATTTGTTGGGTGCAAGATCTGGCGCATTGAAACATTTTGTCATTCCAAAAATCAAGCGTGATAAAGATGGCAACGTTACTCAGGAGTCAAGAAAAACTGAATTTAGAGGTGAACAGAAGGACAAAGTAGAGAAGATTGGGCTAGTTGAAGATCTAAATAAAGGAGCTAAGCCTGTAGTTGTCCTTCAAAAGCTTTCTTTGGATGATGTACAGAAATTTATTAAGGATAGAGAAGATAAATCAAGGGGCTCTTGTTTTAAACCTAACAAGAACAAGTCATCCAAATCTAATAAAGGTAAGATTTTTTTAATATTAATTACATTATATCTTTTACTCTACTGTTCTTTTAGACTTGCTACTTCTGTGGTTAGAAATTAAATACAAACATTTGACAGTTAGTTTATATGCTTGATTATATGGTGATTTGGGGGAATAAAGTGAAACTCGTCTATAGGCTTGTCATTATTGGAAACCTTGCTACGATGTGCCTGAAATTATTTATTTACTCCAGTGCAAATACCTAATGTGGGAGCAATTAAATGGTCTTAAGCTATACTTCAGCTATGTTAGTTTAACCTGGTAATTTATCCAGTGAAATGTAACTGCTGTATGTATGATTTAAACTGGTCTAAGTGTGTCTGTATAAATAACTGGTGCTACTGTAACTACATCAGTGTGGCTGGAGTGGTGAGAAATACTGTGTATACAGGCCTTAAGGTTCTTCTGTATTTTTAATTGGAACTGAAATGTGGTTTTCCAAGGCGTGTTTTGACATGATACAATAAGAACGCAGTTACAAAGTCCCATCTGCCTCTTTTACACTATAACTCTATCAGGGCACCTCCACAGGGGATGCTATGTGACAATAAGCTTACAAAAAGGTTCTGTCTTTAGGAGAATTCAGACCTCATTGTCTCTAGGGTCCATTGTATGCAGAAAGAGGAAAGGAACTGGGAAACAATTGGCTGGCATTTTCACATTAGTAATATGTACAGGAAATAATTCAGAATAGCTTGTAAAAAAGAGAAGATTGCTTTCCTTCTTGGTGCTCTAATTTTGGCTTCTTTGATCTCAGAGTGAAGTAGATCATTTCACATTGTGAAATTGATGTTACTAACTGGTCAGTGGTCCTTTTTTAATGGTTAGCATTTTTAAAGCATCTACATTTCTTAGTTATGTTTACAGAGTTGTCATCTCTCAAAATAGATGAACCAAGTGATGGGGGAGAGGATTTCAGCTGTGTGCTGGATGACTTATGAACGCAGTTCAAAGTGTATAATGAATTAGAGATTAAAATGTTTTCTTACATAGTTGATCTCATAAGAAACGATGTAGAAATCATATTTGTGAGTATATAACTATGTTTATGTGTACATATCTGTATAATTAATTTTTTGTGCTACATCTGTTTTCTATCTACTAAGCTGTTTGTATTAATTCTTAAATAGTTAATAATTCAGGATGTGTATTACTTATTTGTAAAATATTAGTCTCCTCATTAAATATTTTATCTTTATTCTGGAAATATGAACATTTCCACTGTCCCTTTTTGAGGTTCAGAACAGGAAAAATTTCCATTTCTAATAATACGTATCTAGAGTTAGACGTAAAATTATTACTTCTTTCTTGTCTTTATGTTCTTAATAGGGAATACTGAAAACTTTCTGATTGAACTTGACTCTAGTCTTAGGAGAATAGATTTTGAATTCACACAATTCTATGTGCAAAAATCAGTAATTTTTAGAGCCCTCAGAGCCGTATATAATAAAAGTATGCTTTCTAAAATATTTCTGAAGTACTTTTTTTGTAGTCTGTATTGTATGTGGTTATTTATATAGACTGTTTCAGTAATGTGTAACAGTTTTAATGACTCTTGTCTGATTGGCATAATTCTAGTAGCTGTGTCACGTATGAGCAACACATTAATTTTAAAGTAAAATTTATAACTTTTCTGCAATGTTTTTGTCTATTTTTTGTTTTACATACTCTCAAATAACTTGCAATATATTTTCCAGGGAAAGAGAATGTTTGAATCTAGTATCAGTCTTTGTGCTGTTGTATTCAGAATAAAGTTCTCACAACAATACTAGAAATAGGTTTTGTGGAAAGAATAACGTTGTAACTTTTTCTGTTACATATTAAGTTTTATGTGTTCAGTCAGGCAGATTTTGGAGAAAGTGTCTTTGAACTTCAGATTTTTCATGTGTATTTTTAGTCTTACTTTTTTTTTTTCCCAACTTCCTGGTAACTTCATAGGACATATTATGGTAAATAATTAAGTGAGCTCCAATGTTTGAAAAGGTTCATAATTTATAAAGGTATATCTTCATAAGCCAAAATCTCATTTGCCAACAACTGACTGATACAGAAGATACTCATGCCTTTGCAATATCCTCACTCCAGTTGAGAGAAGTAGTGTTCACTGGTTTACTCAGTGCCATTTTTAGCTATAAACATTTTAAAAAACTAGGAAATGTAATTTTCATTAACATCCTTTATTTAATTCATCCTGTATTTCTTAATAGGTTGTAGCAAATCTTTTCTAGTGTTGCCTTTTAGCATCATCATTCTAGTTCTCACATCCCTCTTATTCCATGTAGCTTAGTATATTTTGCTTTATCTTTCCTTATTTTACTTCCTTGTATTTCTTGTCCATTGTTTCCACTTTCTCATCCATCCCTCCCCCAAGAAAATGTCTTCTGTCTTTGTCACATACGACATAATTTCTGTGACTTATCTGAAATCCAGTTTAAAATAGGATTAGTTCAGCTAGTCCAAAATGCCATTTAGTCATTCAGTCTTAAGGGACTAATGCCCAACTGACTTGTTTTAAGCTAAAATTAATGCTTTGCAAACTGAAGGTCTATACCACTTTTTTCATTGTTGCAGTAAATTTTAAATTTGAAAATCATAACTTTATTGTGCATGTGGTTAAGCCTTGCATTGTACTGCAAAAAGACAAACATTTTAATAAAATTTTATAGACAAGTTTGAAGTTTTGTAAAGTTGTTATGCGAAAGGGAGGGATAGCTGTAGTACACATTGAATCATTCCAACAGTCCCTTTTGGCATTTACAAGGAAGAAGTGACTTCTTCCTCTCTCCTGATCTTTGAATGTTTTTCTGAAAGATTCATTCTAGCTCAGAGGAAAGTTATGGAAATTTTTTTTCATGGTATTTTTGTTAAGGGGTCTGATGGTGAAATTTTGTGGCCTGTTTTGTCCAGGTCAGAATGAATTGTAACACTTCTGGTTCTAATGTTTGTGAATGCCTTTTGTCCTGGTTTTAATGCAAATGCATATTGTTGGGGGATCCATAAAACTTTAACTTTTGAGTTTGTGCCTGCAATGAGGAGGTCATGTTTGCTACCCTTTCTTTTCAGAGCTTCAGCGAATACCTTCTCTGCTGCTTCTTAGAGCTATACTGATCAGCTGTGTTGGGATGGGAGCTGTTAATGGTTCCACAGTTACTGCATTCTGAACAAGACAAGTTTTCCTTTGATAAAGTATGAAACAGATATGAGTAATGAGAGAAACTGTGACTGTCTGTACAAGGAGATGTCTGAGTTGGCTTTTAATATGTTTGGAGGATTGCCCTTCCAAAATAACCACCATATGTGTAGCGCAAGTTTTAGCTCTAGGACAGATGAGTGCATGTTTTTTAAGACTTGTGCAGAAACACCTTTTGAGTCTTCCAATATCACCTTAAAAGAGTTCTTTGTCTAAAAAAAAAATTTTATCTGAATGCTACTCTTTCATTGTGTAGATTGTTCCAGGATTTCATTATCTGTACAAAACAGAAATTTAAACACAGGTTTTTGTTGCTCACTACAAGTCTTCCTAAATATACTGCGTCCTCTGCTGCTATGATCTTAAATTTGAGTGAAGATTTGCCATTTCTACAAAGGTGCTCTTCATACATATTCTTAAAGGATCAGCTAAAAAATTTGCCGCTTAATCATCTTCATGCTGTAGAGTTGAAACAATGCTTTTAGGTTTTATTGTGTTCTGTGCTTGTGTGCTTTGTTGGTTTTTGTTTGGGATTTTTTTGATGTTTTGTTTTTTTAATTCCAGGTGACTTTTTCAGAGCCTATAGTAACTATAATTTGGCATTTGTGTTGCATGATGGTCCATCTTTGAGATCTAGCACTGCTGGAAACAATCTCACTTGTGAAGCAGAGTAATCAATTAGGTGCTTATCTTCGAGGTAGGAGTTGACAAGAAAGGGAGTATTCCAGGATGAAAAGCTGTATCCAGATTTTGTTAGCTCAGTGAGCCAAGCTGTGATGCCTCTCACAGACTTCTAGTCAACACAGCAGAGCTACTCACAAATACTTTCTGGTACAGCTGAAAACTGTGGACAAAAAGGGAATATCAATTTTTAACATTTGTTTAAGTCGTTCACGTCTAGGACTTATATAAGGACAAAATTTGTAAAACTTTGAGAAAAATAACTTATGGATATGAAAACATCAAGCAAATTTTAGACTTCACTCAAATTTATTTCCAAAATAACAGTCTCTTGATGTTGAAACAGTCACACTGTTGTACTCACTGAAATCAGTGGGGCAAGCAAGGAAGTAACTGGAGTAATAACATATTTCCTTTAGAAAGGAAGAGGCTGCAACTCAGCTTGCTTACTACAGATTGTGCTTTTGTAAAGATTACTATTGTGAAAGTCCTTAATTCCACAAATTTGAAATTTAAAATCATTGTCTTGGAGTTTGTGCTAGCAACTGCATTTGCAAGTAGGAAGGCCGGAGTAATAACCCACTAAGAATCTTGCATGTACATGCACCACCAGGTGTGTGAATCAAGCACATCATAACTTTCTCTGAAGTTTTACTGAAAATGATGCCACATTTCAGGAAAAAAAAAGGATATATTTCATGGCTTACAGCAAGAGGTTTATAATGATTCTTCTCAGCTGAAGTCTTTAAGCCTTCTCTTAAACTCTAAATTTAACTGGAATTTTAGAACCCCCCCCCATCACTTTAATAAGAATTCTACAGTCTTCCTGTTTTCCTATTTTCTGAGGTATTAGTGACTACCTCTTTTCAACTTAAGAGTTGGACTAGAAGAGGAGCTGGCTGTCCCTCATGGCATTAGAAGTATTTAAAGATATGTTGGGTTTGCAGATGATCAGTTTTAATATACACTTTGTTCATTTGCACCTGATTAATTTTTTTCTCCTTTCTGGATTGAACAGGTTCACAGTTTGAAAAATATTCTAGGCATTGTTTAGTCAAAAGCCAAAACCAAACAATAGATCACCCATTAAATCCAATAGTCTAGGA